GTGTGTGTGTGTGTGTGTGTGTGTGTGTGTGTGTGTGTGTGTGTGTGCTGTCTAGTTGTTATGTTTTACAGCCCTCTACTATGGCCCCAGTACTGCACTAGTCAGTGGAAACCAAGAAACGTCACAGGCTTCCTGAATATACAAGATTTAAGGTCTTGTAGAGAGACATGTACAAGAATTAGGGTAAGAAATGAACAAGAGAGCCAGACCCCTATAACCCCAGCATCCAGGAAGGATGAGGCAGGCAGACCTCTATGAGTTTGAGGCCAGCCTGGTCTACAAAACAAGTCCAGGACAGCCAGAGCTACACAGAGAAAACCTGTCTCAAAAAAACAAAACAAAACAAAACAAAACAAAAAAAAAAAATGGACAAGAGTAATAAAATGCAGTGGAACAGGACCATGTATAGGCTGAACAAGAAGGGCTCCACAGACTGAGAGAGAGGTCAGGAAGCTCAGGAAGGGAAGAAATCACACTTTATTCCTCACACTTCCTATGCATCTACCTTTGCAATAGCTTGCTCTTAGCTTTTGTATGCATTAGTAAATCTAGGATTTCTCTTTCACTGCTTCCTGCCATCATTGGCAAGACAATGGTCCCATGCATTCCTCTGCCTGTGTCTGTACGCCATCGCCTCCATCAAGGTCTTCCTCCCTACCCAGCCTCTGCTCTTCTGAAGACTTTGAGGAGTACCAACTGCTCTCAGACAGACCATTCTGGTCTCATCACTTTCCTGACCTAGAAGAGATTACCTGTAGAAAACCAAAACCAAACATAAAACGAGTAACATTGAAAAAGAATTTTTCAAGTGCCCTCCAAGCAAAGCCGTGTTCAGGGGACTGTCAATCAGGCTGCTCTCGTCCCCGCTGCCTCAGGCTCTCCAAGCGGCTGGCATCTCACTCAAGCAGCACAGCGCTGTTTTCAGCTTTCCCCTCATACTGTGCCCCTTGTGGAATTTCCTGTTGTGAAAACTCTTACTCATTGCTCACACCCAGTCTAAACGTCCTCTCTCCGGGTTCCCCAATAGACTCCTGCTCAGCCACACACTTACCAGGCCTCTCTCGGGGCCCCGAGATCCTGCCGCAAAGGCTAACAGGTATGAGTTTTGGCCTACACGTTTCAATAAGTGAGAGAGCTCTTACCTTAAATCTTACCTTAAATTTACTTGTTACAGCAAAGATTTTTAGCTTCAGCTGTATATAGCAGAGACCAAACTAGCTGAGACTTAAACAACGGAGATGTCTATTTCTCATTTACATACAAATCAGCATTTGCCTGGTAAACAGGATTCTCAGTCTACTAGGTACCAGCATGGGACACTGTGGGTCACTGGTAGCCAGATCCAGCTTTCTGCTCACCTCATGCTAACACGTGGCCCCCATCTCTTTAGTGTGAGAGGAAGAAATGAAGGTCACACCAACCCTCCTTTTGAGCCATCTCACTGAAGCTGCATGCATCACTCTCTCTCATGACTCACATCCAGAAAGTCATCATAGGGGCACACCCCGCTCTGTGAAGGTTAGGAAACAGTCTTTCTGTGGAGAAGCCGTGAGAAAAAATAAATGACTGTCCTAGTGTAGAGGGAAAGAAGTGCTGTGAGGTCAAAGATAGGCCATGTAATTTGGCTTTTTAGGACACATGCTGCCTATCTGGGAGAAAAAGTGATTCTGCGTCCTTACATCCTTCTTGGTTGTACAGAGATCCCTCGAGCATCCATACTGACTGTGGCGAAAGTGGGGACGTTCTAAGCATCCGATGGGAGTCGTCTCTTTTAACCCTCCTGAAAGCCTTGTGGGCTGTGCATGATTATTGACCCATTTTAGAGATGAAGAGGCTGAGAGGCAACATTCCGACCAAAGAAAGGGTACTCCACTGTGGGTGGTCAGGGGTCGTATGCCCCCATGGGGCATAGGTGAGAGGCCCATGTTCAAGATCATGAGGACCCTGAGAGCCCACTGCTTCCTGTTTCCCAGAATCTTTCACCCAGAGGGCAGCCTTCCACTCTGCCTTAGGCTCTCTCTCTTGTGGGTTCTCTGGCCAGATCCACAGACCTCTACCTTTCTCACAAAACTCATTTCCCTTTTGCATTCTTCTCAAGAGTACTTCCTGGTTCAAATCTCTTTTAAGTTAAACTGTATAACTTTAAAGAACTTATCGGCTTTAGGATATTTCTATTTTCTTTTGCCAGGGCAAATTGCAGAGATAAAGCTTTTTAAAGCCTAGCCTCTTTTTTTGAAATTTTTCTTTTCTTGCTTGAGATGGGAAGAGAAGGAGCCATTGATGAGGTACTTGCCAAGTGTGCACAAAGCCCTGAATTTGATTCCCATGTAGAACAGGTGTGCCTATAAGCTGAATACTCAGAAAGTAAAGGTAGAAGGATCAGAAGTTCAAGGTCCCCTCAGCAACAAAGCCAGTTCAAGGCCAGCAGAAAGAAAGACAGAACAAGAGAGAGACAGACACAGAGATAGAGAAGCCAAATTTAGTGGTGTAGACCTTTAATCCCAGCACTTGAGAGGCAGAGGCAAATGGATCTATCTCTGTGGCTTCAAGGCCAACCTGGCCTACACAGTGAAAACCTGTCTTTAAAAAAAAAAAAGAAAGGGAAAAAAAGAAAGAATGAAGAGTGAGAAGAAGAGAAAGATTAAAAAAAGAAAGAAAAAAGACAGGAGATGTAAAATAGAGACAGTGACAGCAAAACAGATCTTTAAGAATTACCTCCAGCCCATGCTCAGCCTGTCAGTTGTGAATCTCAGATGACTGTTGATATATCTGACTTCCCGGCTGTACCCCAAGCAAGGAATCCAAGGCTAAGGATATTGTCTTCATCTTCACGTGTGTATTGCCTAACAGAGTGTACAGCAATGAAATGTTGGTGAATCCTTACTTGTGGAATATTGCCAAAGACTTAACTATACCCAACTATAAGCAGTGCTGACATTACTGGTTTTGCCGATTTTTTGTAAGCAGTCATCTGTTTGTAATCTCTATTTTAATACTTTCTCAGAATCCAGAAGCCAAATGAGGTGTCCTCACCTCCCACTACCTCTGCAGCCATTCCTCCAGCAGCACAAGCCCAGCCTTCAGTGACCCAGCCCAGGGTGTCCACCATCCAGCAGGTACACCTTGAGGGCGGGGCCATGCTCCCCTGCCATAATCACTGTGAAATCATTTTGTCTGCGTGAGCTCATTGCTTCCGAAGGCTTTGGGAACCAACGCCTTGGGAAAACATCATAGGAAAAGTTAAGTTTCCGGCACCCCCCGTTTTATGAAGAGTTTTATAAAAAGTGCCAATCGTATGTGAACCGATGGGTGTGCATCCTAACTGTGATTTCATGGTACTTGGAATGATTTCTACTTACTAAGACAAGCAAGAGGTCGACGGCTTCGATGTTGTTTTAGAAAAATAATGAAGACTCAAATTTTTCACGTTGATGATAATGTTTATTATAAAGCATCCAATGTACAGAAGCATATTAAGTAAAAACTCGAATAGGAGCCGGAGAGGTGGCTCAGTGGTTAAGGCCAAGGGTTGCTCTTGCGGAGGGCCTGACTTCAATCCCTGGCATTTGCTTTGGGTGGCTCATAACCAAAAGTAATCCTGGGGAATCCAGCTACCTCTTCTGGCTTCCGTGGACACCTGCAGGCACATGCACAGAGTACATGCCTGTTCACATAAATAAACCTAAAATAAAATCTTTAAAAAAAAATCCACCAACATTAGTCAAGGTTCTAGCTCTACACCCCTATTCCTCAGACAAATCTCCAGTCAATAGTCATAATTACTAGGAGAAACTTCCAGACATTTTCTATTCATATATAAAAAATATTTGCGTAGGCATGCGCTTTAAAACATAAATGATGCTTTCCAAATGTATGTGCTGCATGTTAATGATGATCTAAATAAATATTTTTTAATGTACTGATCTACAACTTCAAAAATTATTCAGGATTACTTATCTAACCTTTTCAGTAATGGGGAGGGTCAACTTTGTCTCCAAATGCATTGGCCTTTAAACTGTGATTTGTGTAATGCTGCACAATGATGAGCCCTTTTCAGCTCAGCCTAGGGTTAGTTACCTAGACCCAAGTGGGGTTGGAGAAGTTTATTTTACAGCCAGTCTGACCTAGGAAGAAATGCAGTCGATTCAATCTACAAGCTCAAGTCTGTGATTCATGAATTTAGAAATCACTGGGTTTTGACTTGAGATTAATTTTATACAGCAAAGTCTGTAGATCTGTTATCTTTAGGTCTATCTGTGCGGTAGCCGTGGTGATGATGGACGTATTGTTGATTCCTCCTCACAGTGTCAGAGTCCTACCAACTACTTGCAAGGACTGGATGGAAAGCCTATCATTGCCGCTCCAGTGTTTACAAAGGTAACCAAATACGACTTCTTTCTTTCTGCCGGGGCTTTAAACACCGTGGAACCCAAAGGACCTCCGATCCGATGAGCTTATCTCAGGATTTGTCCTTTGGAAGTACAGTGTAGGAAGTACAGTGTAAGGGGTTTTTGTGTGTTTTGGTAGTTTCTATGGTATCACATCTAGTCCTAGGCTTCTTTACTTTATTTTACTTTTTTGAGATAAAATCTCACATATCCCAGGCTGACCTTGAACTTGCTTTGTAGTTTAAGATAACCTTGGACTTCTGATCCTTTTTACCTCAGACTCTTTAGTACTAGGATTACAGATGAAAACTGCTACACCAATTTATTCATTGCTAAGAATTGAACCTTGTGTGTGCTAGGCAAGCACTGTGTCAGTTAAGCTATATTCCCATTTCCAATTCCCATTTCACATCTTTTCTGCCTTATCTTCTTTCTTCTCCTTCTCCTTCTTTTTCTTCTTTTACTAAAACAGCTGACAATTTTATTTTCACATTTCACAATACAAAAAAACTGCACTTTTTTGTTTGTTTGTTTTTTCAAGATAGTGTTCCTCTGTTGTAGCCTCAAATGTCCTGGATGAGCTTTGTAGATAAGGCTGGCCTCAAACTCACAAAGATCCACCTGCCTTTGCTGGGATTACAGGGGTGTGCCACTGAGCCCGGCTAAACGCAATTTTTAAAATCCTACTTCTCCTCTCCAAAAGTCTTTGTTGTGGTACAGCTAGAAACACTCGGGCTCTGCCTGGTGATCTCCTGGAGAACCAGAGCAAGAAAAACAAACCTGATAAAGAGCCTTCTGCTCTTTCCTGTCTGGTGGAGTGGGCACCACCACAGGGTGAGCCACAGGTCTCACCATTGGAGGCCCAGGCATCACGGGCAGGTGGCCTCCCATGGGTGGCTGCATTCCAGGAACAGGCTCCATGGGCATCATCCCAGGAAGAGAAGGGCTCCCTGCTGGCATCATGGGAGGGTGCAGGCATCGTACCAAGTCAAGGAGGAGACTGGGGAGGAGGAGGGGACCATGGCCCCTACAGGAGGAGGATGAGCAGAGAATGGAGCTGGGGGTGTCTTCCTTTGTTGAAATGCAGCCATTGTTTTGTCAGTCAGGCTCTGGACCTGGTAATATTCTTTCACATTCTCTCTGCGTTCCCTACCCTCGAAGTCTCACAGACTGAGAATCACAGGGAAGATGCCTGTCACAGTAGGGACACTAAAACGTAGGCATGTTGCTCATCAGGCCGTAGGCCACCGAGCTTTGTGGCCCCAAGTCTCAGATTTCTAATGACACTTTTTGTAAGGAGGGAAATGGACTCACTGCTAACTGTACTGACCTTTATGCCATTCTAGAGGCTGTTAATCAGTCACTGCTGGAGATCAGGTGACAGGACTCTGGCCATTTGTCGTTCTAGAGATGGATCTTGACTTAAAGGAGAATCCAGTTGAGGGGCTTACCTTTGGTGCTCCAGAAACAGAGCTAAGTGAGTGATCTTAGGAGGCTTAACATAAAGCTTAGATAGGACAGGTAGCCCACTCCTCCGCTCTGTTGAATTAGTGGCTGTGGAATCATCAAATTCCAAGTCACAGTCTTTGTGTTCAGAACTTGGAAATTCAGTCAGAGGTTTTCATTTACAAAGGGAAAAACCAAGGGAGGGTCGAAGGGACTAACCTAAAATTCCAGCTATGTCGAAGAGCTGGCTAATGGTGGGGCTAGGAGTAGGAACAAGTTTTCCACTTTGAAAACTGAGATCCTTTCTATATGCAGCATGCACTCTGGCCCAAGGCAACAAGTTCAAAGGTAAACAAATAAGTCACATTGGATTTTTGTTTTTATTTTTCGAGAGAAGGTTTCTCTGTGTAGCCCTGGCTGTCCTGAAACTCACTCTGTAGACCAGTCCAGCCTTAAACTCAGAGGTCTGCCTGCCTCTGCCTCCTGAGTGCTGAAATTAAAGGCGTGCACCACCATGCCTGGCTTACATTGGATTTTTTTAATATTATGAAACCCAAACATGTCTTCATGATATTCTTCTTACTATGAACAGCACATGAAGACCCAAAGAGATTTTTACTCTAAAAGAAATGTGGCTTGAGCCATGGATATAAATGGGGGTTAATTTTGTTCTCCCAGGGATCAGTGGATAATGCCTGGAAACACTTTTGGGTTGTACTGAGAGGGCTGTGCTGGTGGCATGTGGAGATATGGTTAAGCACAGGGTGCCAGCCCCTCCCTCCAGCAAAGAATTATCTAGCCCCAAATCTATAGAGTGCTCAAGATGAAGAACCCTGGTTTCAAGAGAGATGGCAACTGTGGTCTTTTCTAGCACTACTCATACTCTTGCTAGATCCACAGCCGGCCCAGGAGGGGAGCTCCACCGTATTGGAGGAGATCACCTAAGGTGGCTTCCCAAAGTCAATCATGGAGTCTAGAGTGATCCCTGTCTTCCATTTCCATGTCAGTCAGACACATTTTCTCATGTGAATGAGAGAGCTCTTTATTTTTAAGATTCATTTAATAATCTAAGTTATATGATCTAATATAATTTATTAAAAATTAGATTGCTAATAATATTCATCATCATAATAATAATAAATGATATTTCAGCCCCACTATTGTGAAAGATCGCTATGATTTAGTAGATATCTGTTTTTGTCTCTTGTTGGCTAAGTCATCTAGTCTTAAGATGTAGCATAAAAGTGACATAGAAAGAAGGCAGTTGTCGTGTCTGCTTGTCACAGGTGAAAGACAGCGCTGACTCTCCAGAAGTAGCTAGCCCCCAAATACTCAGCACCTGGTCCCAATAAAGTCTCCGTCTCTCCATTCTCAGCACCAACCACCCCTCAGTCAAAGCTGGGGTGTGCTGGAATTCAGATCTCCTAGAGTGCACACCTGGTACATTCAGCACACACAGATAAAGCTGTTTCCATTTTAGCTTTTCTCCCAATCACCCTGAAAACTATGCAGATACAAGTTTACAAAGGTGCAGTCTGGCACATGGACGCTTGCCTATAATCCTAGCAGTCAGGATGCTGAGACAGAGAGGGGATGTTCAAGGTCCAGCCTCGTTTACACAGAAAGACCCTCTCTCAGAAAAACCAGTAAGTTCAAAAAGCTTTTTTGTTTTGTTTTGTTTTGTTTTCTTTAAAAATATCTGGATTCCTTGCGTAGTTCAGTGGTTAGGTACTTAGCAAGCACAGAGCCCTGGGTTTAATCCTCAGAGAGAGAGACAGAGAGAGAAAGAGAGTGAGAGAGAGAGATAGAGGGAGGGAGGGGGAGAGAGAGAGAAAATGAATCAGGACCTTTTAATATTAATTCTTCATATTTAATTTCCAAGGTCAACCAGAGCATCCATTTTTAGCTGTTTTAACTGAGGTGGCGCTTTTCCTGATTAGGTGTTCTGGTTGGCAGACACAAATGCCTTTAACAAATAAAAATGGAGAAGTAAATTAGATACAGTGAAGTCTATAAAAATATTAGCTTGCTGTGGGAAATCAGCTCTTGGTACACAGACTCAAGCTCTGAGGAGGCTTCTCCTGCCCACTGTATTTGGGCTTTGGCCTCCATAAATGGGATCAGAATTGACCAGGGACATGGGACACTAGGATAGGCTGGGGTTCAAATTCCAGAGAGACTTATCAGCTGCAGTGTGCTTGCGTTAGTCAATGAGGACAGGACTGAGGTCACAGTCACTGCCGGTGTCATTGGCGAACTCCTGAGTCACAGCCACCAAGGACCGCATTACGCCACCAAGCAACCCAAGCAACGGCAGCAGCTGATTTGCATGCCTCTGTTCGGGTTATTCAGTCTCTCTTATCTCTTCAGGGACTTCTGGCAGCTCAGCTCATGTGACTCACTTTCTATACAGCCCAACAGAGCATTTCTTTGCCAGTTATGGCAAGACATCATTTTGTTTTTAAAGCACTGATTAGAGGGTGGAGTTTTATTTAACTGTTCTTTCCTTCTTTGATGATGGAAAATGCTTATCTTCATTGTTTTCATTTTCTTTTGTTTCTTTTTTTTTTTGGGGGGGGGGGAGCGAGGGCTTCAAAGCCGGGTAGACCTGGCTGTCCTGGAACTTACTGTGTATACTAGGCTGGCCTCGAACTCCACACGCCTCTGCCTCCCGAGTGCTGGGATTAGTGATGTGGACCACTACCATCCAGCTCTTATGGTACCTTCATAGGAGGTTTAAGTGGAAAGGAGAAGTGTCTGGCTGAACGGGAGGCAGAGTTAGGAGTAAACTGGGTTCGGTAAGAGTTTACTCACAGAGAGCGCCTGTGCTTGACGCGTTCTTACGAACGCTAGGCAAGTGCCCTGCCACCAAGCTACAACCCCAGCCCAGCCTCACGTAGCCCAGACTGACCTCAGATTCTCTAAGCAACAGTGGACGATTTCTAACTCGTCCTCTTGCCTGCGTCTCCCAAGGGCCAGGGTTACAATGTATTGTTTGTGATCATGCTTGCTTTACGCAGTGCTGGGAAACAGACCCAGGGTTTGGGGCCTGCAAGGCATACTGTCCACCTCCTCAGCTCACCTTCTGTGCTTTGTTTCTTTTAATTTTACAGGTATCCGTTTATTTGGGGTGGGGTGGGCACAATGCATGCATAAGATTAGAGGCACCATGCAGAGGTCAGTTCTGTCCCTCCACCATGTGTGTTCCAGGGATGGAACTTGGGGTTGTCAGTCTTGGTGACAAGTGTCCTTTTGAGCCATCTCGCCACCCTGCCTGTGTTTTTAAACACTCCGCACACGGAGCTAGACCACCCTTCCTCCCCTTTGCAGCATCAAAAACACTTTGCTCTGCTTAAGAAGAGAACAGCACTCAGACTTCTTGAGCACGGAGGGAGGGAGGGAGGTGACCAAATTAGAATCTTGCTCCTGTCGCCTCCCACTCAGCGGCAGCTGCCCTGGCGGGCTCTCAGGGCTGCAGCAGCCCTGGCGCTGGCTGCTTCAGCAGTAATTTGAAGAGTGTAAGGGGGCAGGGGAAGCGAGAAT